TTACCGCGAGATGCCTCTCCCAGCGCACAAACAGCCCCTAGCCTCAGTCATTCGCAAGATGGTGACCCCGTAACACACACGGGGCGTTTTGCGTTCTGCAGTTCAGCAAGACTGAATCCGTAATTGCCGTGCAGCGTGCGTTTCAACGGCGTTTTGGCATTGACACGCCAATGTCAAAGACCGTTCGTTGTTGGTGCCAACAATTTGAGAAAACGGGCTGTTGATGTAAGGGGGCAAAACCACAGGGCGACCACGCAGCTCAGAGGAAAACGTGAGAAGAGAGGCGTTTGGGACGAATTTAACTATCGTCTCGATGTTGTCCGTACAGCAGGTGGAGGGCACATTGAGCATTTATAAAATGATTAGTAAAACGTGATAACTCTATAACCCGTTTGTAACTTTTCGTGTAATTGTAACATGTTGCCATCGTGAAATATACTGCTTTGAAATTGGGTCAATTTTATTTAAACACCCTGTAGACTCACATTGTATATAGACCAACATTTCCAGTACACTAGCCTGGCCCAAAGACTAATCCGCATCTATATTTAGACTTCAGGAGGAGGAATCCGATGATCTATGAAGTTCTTTGTCGCAAGTGTCCAGTAAGGGCCCGGGGTCAGCGAATTTCAACCACAAACACAAAACACAAACAGCGGTAGGCGTGCAACATAGATACATGGTAAGCAAGTGATTAAGTGTAAATAAAGTATAGAAGTACATAGATTCCTGCCAATTTGTCATCACTAAATGCAAGCTTGACACAAGGCAGCAAATCAACAACAATCCCAGACTACACCAAGTCAACAACAACAGCCCCAGACCACACCAAGACAACAACAACAACAGCCCCAGACCACACCAAGACAACAACAACAGTCCCAGACCACACCAAGACAACAACAACAACAGCCCCAGACCACACCAAGACAACAACAACAACAGCCCCAGACCACACTAAGACAACAACAGCCCCAGACCACACTAAGACAACAACAACAACAACAACAGCCCCAGACCACACCAAGACAACAACAACAGCCCCAGACCACACCAAGACAACAACAACAACAGTCCCAGACCACACCAAGACAACAACAACAACAACAGTCCCTCACTTACCCAACATTGAATTGTGGATGATACATGGTAAGTTAAGGATCAACGTTATTAATGAAAGTGGCTCATGTATCTGCCACTAACCTTCTGCTGCAGGATCTGTTTTTATTATTTGTATTACAGCTTTTATTTAACTCACTCTGTCTGTTGTTGTTGTCGTTGTCGTATCCTCAAATCTTGTAACTCAATTTTAACCCACTTCCCAATGTGGTATCGACTGCAAACTTGGTATACGTATGTCTTACTGATGACAATACCATATTCTATCAAAAAAAGTATTTTTAAACGTTCATTTTTATATGTAAATCAGCACGGCCCCTTACGTTATGGCAAGCTTCGGGGCCATTCATGGAGTCGTGGAGTTCTGCCATTACTAGTAGGGTACATTTCATTAAAGCGTGTTTAAATACACAGTATTTTGACACGATTTTTTTAGTTGAGAAGTGGCGCTATGGGGTACCTACTTCATTCCGTCTCGCTTGTCTCTATTTGGGAAAGGCTCTGAAATTTCAAATCTTATTTGAGTTGTTTGTAGCACTCCAACAACGCACGAGTCAGGGACCATTCGCGTGCCGGGGTCTGCAGGGGGCTGCTGATTGTCGTCACTAAAATTTCATAAAAGTCTAATTTTGTTTTTATCATTGTTTGCGTAAGGTATTTACAAAAAAAAATAAACCTATTTAAGCAATTCAACTTCACGAATCCTACACGACTATCATTGATATGTGCCAGATAAAAGGGTAAAAAAACAATTATCATATTTGGCGTCATCTGGTCCAACACCATGTGAGACGAGGCTCTAAGGAAAGCTGTCTCGGGTGTGGATCAATCAACTTCAAGGACAGTGCATACATTATCAGTTATGTTTTTTGTTTGCATTATGACTGCAGGTATTGTGGTCTGTGCAAACATGACTCCTTGTAAAAAAAGGTGTCAGTTTTGTTGCCAGATAAAAGTGTAAAAACAATTATCATATTTTGCTACTGGCAAATGAGGTTCCAATGGTGTAAATGCTTACCCCGAGCTCTCATACTCTGATGGTGCGTTGTCTTTGAGTTGTGCGCCTTTTGGCGTCATCTGGTCCAACACCATGTGAGACTAGGCTCTAAGGAAAGCTGTCTCGGGTGTGGACCAATCAATTTCAAGGACAGTGCCTATCATTATCATAATCAGAGTTGTGTTTTTTGTTTGCATTCCGACCGCAGGTATTGTGGTCAATGCAAACATGACTCCTTGTAAAGTTTTGTTGCCAGATAAAATGATAAAAAACAAAAAAAAACATTTATCATGTGATACCCTTTTTGCCAGTATCAAAGCATGAAAAATAAGAATATATTTGACCCTTTCTGCCAATACAACACGAGGGGTGCTAAGATGTTTAAACACCAAGCTTCGTCGCGACTCCTGGACGGGTTGTTGAAGGGACATTGAGGACGCGGCTAGGGAGGTAGCGAGGTTGTTCCAAATCGTTGGTGGTGTGACGAGAGCCTGTTGTGTAGCTGGAGTTGGCGTCTTCTTTCTTTCTCTCCCAATGGTGGTGGCGTGGATTCTTCTCGGGGTCCTCCGGGTTTCCCCTCCATTTAAAATCAATGCGCCTTTAGATTATTTGGCTGCTGCTATAAATGTACACATGGGTCTATGGGTCTCTGTGTGGTGAATCTATGGGTCTCTGTGCAGTAACGCTATTCGTGTGTGTGATGAGTCTATGGGTCTGTGTGGCGAATCTATGGATCTCTGTGTGGAGAGTCTATGGGTCTGTGTGGTGAGTCTATTGGTCTCTGTGTGAGTATATGGGTCTTTGTGTAATGAGTCTATGGGTCTGTGTGGTGAGTCTGTGGGTCTCTGTGTGATGAGTCTATGGGTCTTTGTAAATTAGTATATGGGTCTCTGTGTGGTGAATCTATGGGTCTCTATGTGGTGAGTCTATGGGTCTCTGTGATGAGTATATGGGTCTCTCTGTGATGAGTCTATGGCTCTGTGTGCTGAGTCTATGGGTCTCTGTGCAGTAACGCTATTCGTGTGTGTGATGAGTCTATGGGTCTGTGTGGCGAATCTATGGATCTCTGTGTGGAGAGTCTATGGGTCTGTGTGGTGAGTCTATTGGTCTCTGTGTGAGTATATGGGTCTTTGTGTAATGAGTCTATGGGTCTGTGTGGTAAGTCTGTGGGTCTCTGTGTGATGAGTCTATGGGTCTTTGTAAATTAGTATATGGGTCTCTGTGTGGTGAATCTATGGGTCTCTATGTGGTGAGTCTATGGGTCTCTGTGATGAGTCTATGGGTCTCTCTGTGATGAGTCTATGGCTCTGTGTGCTGAGTCTATGGGTCTCTGTGCAGTAACGCTATTCGTGTGTGTGATGAGTCTATGGGTCTGTGTGGTGAGTCTATGGATCTCTGTGTGAGTATATGGGTCTTTGTGTGATGAGTCTGTGGGTCTCTGTGTGATGAGTCTATGAGTCTCTGTGTGATGAGTCTATGGGTCTCTGTGATGAGTTTATGGGTCTCTATGTGGTGAGTCTATGGTTCTCTGTGTGGTGAGTCTATGGGTCTCTGTGTGGTGAGTCTATGGGTCTCTGTGTGGTGAGTCTATGGGTCTCTGTGTGATGAGTCTATGTGTCTCTGTGAGGTGAGTCTGTGGGTCTCTGTGTGAGTGAGTCTATGGGTCTCTGTGTGATGAGTCTATGGGTCTCTGTGTGGTGAGTCTATGGGTCTCTGTGTGGTGAGTCTATGGATCTCTATGTGGTGAGTCTATGGGTCTCTATGTGGTGAGTCTGTGGGTCTCTGTGTGATGAGTCTATGGGTCTCTGTGTGGTGAGTCTATGGGTCTCTATGTGCTGAGTCTATGGGTCTCTGTGTGGTGAGTCTATGGGTCTCTGTGTGGTGAGTCTATGGGTCTCTGTGATGAGTCTATGGGTCTGTGTGGTGAGTATATGGATCTCTGTGTGATGAGTCTATGGGTCTCTGTGTGAGTGAGTCTATGGGTCTCTATGTGGTGAGTCTATGATAAGCCACTTCGTTGAGCTATCATCTGTGTCCAGGTTGCTTCTGATAAAGAATTACAGAGCTCAGCGGGATCTTACCTGGTAAATAAAAACACTCAAATCTTCGTCTCTTGACCTCTCTCAGCTGGACGAACGAACTTGAGACTTGAGTCCGAGTGGGCGGGGCTACAGACGCGGGGGGCGGGGCTAGGAAGTTAAGAGGCGGGGCTAAGGACGGAGGGGGCGGGGCTAGAGACGTAGGGGACGGAGCTCGAGGCGTGGGGGCGGGGTTAAGGACGTAGGGGGCGGGGCTAATGACGCAGGGGGGCGGAGCTAGAGACGTAGGGGGCGGGGCAAGGGATGAAAGGGGCGTGTCCGAAGACGTTGGGGGCTTTGTATGAGGGGGGGGGGGGGGCTAGAAACGGGCGGGGTGAAGGGAAAGAGGGGGGGGGGGGACAAACCATAAAGGGGCGTGGCTAGTTCAGTAGGGGGCGGTGCTATGTGTGTAGGGGCGTGGCTAGACGCGTTGGAGGGGCTACGCGCGAGTGCTCGTAGCTAGACGCGAGTGGGCGTGGCTAGACGCGAGTGGGCGTGGCTAGACGCGAGTGGGCGGGGCTAGACGCGTTGGAGGCGGGGCGACGCGCGAGTGGGCGGGGCTAGACGCGAGTGGGCGTGACTAGACGCGAGTGGGCGGGGCTAGACGCGAGTGGGCGTGGCTAGACGCGAGTGGGCGGGGCTAGACGCGAGTGGGCGGGGCGACGCGCGAGTGGGCGTGGCTAAACGCGAGTGGGCGTGGCTAGACGCGAGTGGGCGGGGCTGGACGCGAGTGGGCGTGGCTAGACGCGAGTGGGCGGGGCTAGACGCGAGTGGGCGGGGCGAGGAGGGCTAAGGGGGCGGAGCTACGCGGCAGCTCGAAGTCTTCCGGGCCGGGCACTTTAGTTAAAAAGTGGTCTCCATTAAGAAGTCAAACTAACAACAACTACCACCACAACTACAACAACAACTAAACAACCAACAAGGACGACAACAACAGCAACAAGAGCAGCAGCAGCCGCCACGATCACGGTGAGAGCCGCCCGCCCGCCCCGCGTCAACTCTCCAGCGGCACAGTGGCCGTGAGGCTCCGCGGTTCTCCCCCCTCCTCCTCCTCTCGCTCCTCTGTGGCTCGCGGGGCGGCCTCCTCCTCCTCCTCGCCTCCTCCTTGCCGGGGGGAGATGGGGGGGGATGGGGGGTCGACCCGAGGAGGGAGCGCGGCGCTCGACCCGGGACCTCTCCACCTCGCTCGCTCGCCCCCCTCGTCAGGAGGCCGCCGCCGCCGCCGGCAGATTAGTCGCGGTCGCGGGCACTGCGCATGCGCGGAGGCAGTGCGATTGAATGGTTGAGTGCGGCGCGGGGGGGGGGTCCGAATTTCGCATGGGGGGCAGGGGCTGGGATCTTACATGGGGGGGGGGGGGGGGGGGGGGGGGTCCGAATATGGCAGGAGGGGGTCCGGATCTGGCATGGGGGGCAGGGGCCCGGGTGTTACATGGGGGGGGGGGGTCCGGATCTGGCACGCGCGGTGTTGTAGGGGAGGAAGGAGCGGTGGGATTGTGATCGCGTGTCGATTGGTGACCCCCCCTCCTCCTCCTGCTGCGAGAGGAGCGGTGGGAGTGGATCCGTGGTGGCGCTCGCAACTCCACAGCACTTGCGCCCTCGGGCCGGTGGAGGCTACACGGGGGAGCTTTGTCTTTGTGGTGACCCCAGATGGCGATCGTCAAATTGTCAAGCGGAACAGAAAGTGAAGTCCACGACAGCGTGGGGAGAGATCCTTGCTGGGAGTGAATGGCGGTGGTAGAGGCGGTGTGAGTGGTAGGGGTAGAGGCAGTGTGAGTGGTAGGGGTAGAGGCGGTGTGAGTGGTAGGGGTAGAGGCGGTGTGAGTGGTAGGGGTAGAGGCGGTGTGAGTGGTAGGGGTAGAGGCGGTGTGAGTGGTAGTGGTAGAGGCGGTGTGAGTGGTAGGGGTAGAGGCAGTGTGAGTGGTAGGGGTAGAGGCGGTGTGAGTGGTAGGGGTAGAGGCGGTGTGAGTGGTAGGGGTAGAGGCAGTGTGAGTGGTAGGGGTAGAGGCAGGGTGAGTGGTAAGGGCGGTGTGAGTGGTAGGGGTAGAGGCAGTGTGAGTGGTAGGGGTAGGGGCAGTGTGAGTGGTAGGAGCAGTGTGAGTGGTAGGGGTAGAAGCAGTGTGAGTGGTAGGGGTAGAGGCGGTGTGAGTGGTAGGGGTAGGGGCAGGGTGATTGGTAGGGGTAGAGGCGGGGTGGGTGATTGGGGTGGAGGCAGTGTGAGTGGTAGGGGCAGTGTGAGTGGTAGGGGTAGAGGCGGTGTGAGTGGTAGGGGTAGGGGCAGGGTGATTGGTAGGGGTAGAGGCGGGGTGAGTGGTAGGGGTAGAGGTGGTGTGAGTGGTAGGGGTAGAGGCAGGGTGAGTGGTAGGGGTAGGGGCAGTGTGAGTGGTAGGGGTAGAAGCGGGGTGAGTGGTAGGGGTAGAGTGAGTTTGAGTGGTAGGGGTAGGGGCAGGGTGAGTGGTAGAGGCGGTGTGAGTGGTCAGGGTAGAGGCGGTGTGAGTGGTAGGGGTAGAGGCGGTGTGAGTGGTAGGGGTAGAGGCGGTGTGAGTGGTAGGGGTGGTGTGAGTGGTAGGGGTGGTGTGAGTGGTAGGGGTGGTAGGGGTAGGGGCGGTGTGAGTGGTAGGGGTAGAGGCGGTGTGAGTGGTAGGGGCTAGAGGCGGTGTGAGTGGTAGGGGTAGAGGCGGTGTGAGTGGTAGGGGTAGAGGCAGTGTGAGTGGTAGGGGTAGAGGCGGTGTGAGTGGTAGGGGTAGAGGCGGGGTGAGTGGTAGGGGTAGAGGCAGGGTGAGTGGTAGGGGTAGAGGCGGGGTGAGTGGTAGGGGTAGAGGCACTGTGATTGGTCGGGGTAGAGGCAGGGTGAGTGGTAGGGGTAGAGGCAGTGTGAGTGGTAGGGGTAGAGGCGGTGTGAGTGGTAGGGGTAGAGGCGGTGTGAGTGGTAGGGGTAGAGGTGGTGTGAGTGGTAGGGGTGGTGTGAGTGGTAGGGGTAGGGGCAGGGTGAGTGGTAGGGGTAGAGGCGGTGTGAGTGGTAGGGGTAGAGGCAGGGTGAGTTTTAGGGGTAGAGGTAGTGTGAGTGGTAGGGGTAGAGGCAGTGTGAGTGGTAGGGGTAGGGGCAGTTTGAGTGGTAGGGGTAGAGGCGGTGTGAGTGGTAGGGGTAGGGGCAGTTTGAGTGGTAGGGGTAGAGGCGGTGTGAGTGGTAGGGGTAGAGGCAGTGTGAGTGGTAGTGGTAGAGGCAGTGTGAGTGGTAGGGGTAGAGGCGGTGTGAGTGGTAGGGGTGGAGGCGGTGTGAGTGGTAGGGGTAAAGGCAGGGTGAGTGGTAGGGGTAGAGGCAGGGTGAGTGGTAGGGGTAGAGGCAGTGTGAGTGGTAGGGGTAGAGGCAGTGTGAGTGGTAGGGGTAGTGGCAGGGTGAGTGGTGTGAGTGGTAGGGGTAGAGGCAGGGTGAATGGTAGGGGTAGAGGCAGGGTGAGTGGTAGGGGTAGAGGCAGTGTGAGTGATCGGGGTAGAGGCAGGGTGAGTGGTAGGGGTAGAGGCAGGGTGAGTGGTAGGGGTAGAGGCGGTGTGAGTGGTAGGGGTAGAGGCGGTGTGAGAGTTAGGGGTAGAGGCAGGGTGAGTGGTAGGGGTAGGGGCAGTGTGAGTGGTAGGGGTAGAAGCAGGGTGAGTGGTTGGGGTGGAGGCAGTGTGAGTGGTAGGGCAGGGTGAGTGGTAGGGGTAGAGGCGGTGTGAGTGGTAGGGGTAGAGGCAGGGTGAGTGGTAGGGGTAGAGGCAGTGTGAGTGGTAGGGGTAGGGGCAGGGTGAGTGGTAGGGGTAGAGGCAGTGTGAGTGGTAGGGGTAGAGGCAGGGTGAGTGGTAGGGGTAGAGGCAGGGTGAGTGGTTGGGGTAGGGGCAGGGTGATTAGTAGGGGTAGAGGTGGGGTGAGTGGTTGGGGTGGAGGCAGTGTGAGTGGTAGGGGTAGAGGCAGTGTGAGTGGTAGGGGTAGGGGCAGGGTGAGTGGTAGGGGTAGAGGCAGTGTGAGTGGTAGGGGTAGGGGCAGTGTGAGTGGGAGGGGTAGTGGCAGGGTGAGTGGTAGGGGTAGAGGCGGTGTGAGTGGTAGGGGTAGAGGCAGTGTGAGTGGTAGGGGTAGGGGCAGGGTGAGTGGTAGGGGTAGATGCAGTGTGAGTGGTAGGGGTAGGGGCAGGGTGAGTGGTAGAAGCGGGGTGAGTGGTAGGGGTAGGGGCAGGGTGATTGGTAGAGGTAGAGGCAGGGTGGGTGGTTGGGGTGGAGGCAGTGTGAGTGGTAGGGGCAGGGTGAGTGGTAGGGGTAGAGGCGGTGTGAGTGGTAGGGGTAGAGGCAGGGTGAGTGATAGGGGTAGAGGCAGGGTGAGTGGTAGGGGTAGGGGCAGGGTGAGTGGTAGGGGTAGAGGCGGGGTGGGTGGTTGGGGTGGAGGCAGTGTGAGTGGTAGGAGCAGTGTGAGTGGTAGGGGTAGAAGCAGTGTGAGTGGTAGGGGTAGAGGCGGTGTGAGTGGTAGGGGTAGAGGCAGGGTGAGTGGTAGGGGTAGAGGCAGGGTGAGTGGTAGGGGTAGAAGCAGGGTGAGTGGTAGGGGTAGAGTCATTGTGAGTGGTAGGGGCAGGGTGATTGGTAGGGGTAGAGGTGGGGTGAGTGGTAGGGGTAGAGGTGGTGTGAGTGGTAGGGGTAGAGGCAGGGTGAATGGTAGGGGTAGGGGCAGTGTGAGTGGTAGGGGTAGAAGCGGGGTGAGTGGTAGGGGTAGAGTGAGTGTGAGTGGTAGGGGTAGGGGCAGGGTGAGTGGTAGAGGCGGTGTGAGTGGTAGGGGTAGAGGCAGGGTGAGTGGTAGGGGTAGAGGCAGGGTGAGTGGTAAGGGTAGGGGCAGTGTGAGTGGTAGGGGAAGAGGCAGGGTGAGTGGTAGGGGTAGGGGCGGTGTGAGTGGTCAGGGTAGAGGCGGTGTGAGTGGTAGGGGTAGAGGCGGTGTGAGTGGTCAGGGTAGAGGCGGTGTGAGTGGTAGGGGTAGAGGCGGTGTGAGTGGTAGGGGGAGAAGCAGGGTGAGTGGTAGGGGTAGAGGCAGGGTGAGTGGTAGGGGTAGAGGCAGTGTGAGTGGTAGGGGTAGAGGCAGGTGAGTGGTAGGGGTAGGGGCAGTGTGAGTGGTAGGGTAGGGGCAGGGTGATTAGTAGGGGTAGAGGTGGGGTGAGTGGTAGGGCTAGAGGGAGTGTGAGTGGTAGGGTAGAGGCAGTGTGAGTGGGAGGTAGTGGCAGGGTGAGTGGTAGGGTAGAGGCGGTGTGAGTGGTAGGCGTAGGGGCAGTGTGAGTGGTAGGGTAGAGGCAGGGTGAGTGGTAGGGAAGTGGCAGGTGAGTGTAGGGGTAGAGGCAGGGTGAGTGGTAGGGGTAGGCGGTGTGAGTGGTAGGGGTAGAGGCAGTGTGAGTGGTAGGGGTAGAGGCCGGTGAGTGGTAGGGAAGTGGCAGGGTGAGTGGTAGGGTAGAGGCGGTGTGAGTGGTAGGGTAGAGGCGTGTGAGTGGTAGGGTAGAGGTGGTGCGAGTGGTAGGGGTAGAGCGGTGATGGTAGGGTAAGCGGTGTGAGTGGTAGGGTAGAGGCAGGGT